ACATGAAAAAAAAAACAGATTTCCTTTTTCATCTCGCTCATGAGCGCTCCGGTGAGATCAGCGGCACGTGGGCGTCGAAGCCAGGGATGTGTAGAATTACAGTCCGACTGTGTGCGGCTATGGAATCAGTCAGTCCAGAAAATAGCTGCGAGCTTTCAGGTTTCGAGCATCACAGGAAGAACTTGGCAACAACTTTCATCTCTGAATCTCTGTTTCCATTTCAGGTGAAGCCCTTGCCGAGCCGTGCGGCACTCACAACAAATCAAGCCTCTGATGTGTTTTACCCAAAATACAACAAACTGCTTTAAGGTTGCAGAGTTTCTCAACATGTTCCTGCTTCTGCTGTGAAACAGAGTGGACACTGAAATCACTGGAGAACCAACTAAAACCTGCTTTTTCCTTTGTCTAACTAAGAGTTCTGCTTAAGTTAAAAGTTTTTACTACTATACTATCGGTTTATTATAATAGGACTAAATTTATACTGACTCCTGCGAAATGGTATTCACTTTCATGGCACTGCTTGAACATTGTTAGAAATTTGACAGTGGTGGAGACTTAATTTTAATCTTGGTTTGCTTTTGATCTGAAGTTTTTGTGAGTTGTTCAGAAATGTAATTGTGCCGGTTGGAAAATGAGCCATTTAGAAATGCAAAGCACAAACGGGCATCTAACTACATAATTTATGTATCCCCATTTTTTTTATTACATCATAGGCTTGGAAGGCTGGGAAACAAATGTGCTACTTTTATAAGAACTAACTAATCCTGTCACATAATACAAATTTGTCTCATCTAAATGTATTTATAGCTGTCTGCATGTGTCCCATTGTGCCCCATTGTGCCATGTATCAAAGTAAACACATTCAAAAGAAAAATTATTTTATATCTATATATATATAATCTTCATCTAAAAGTATGTTTTGTCTCAAATTAGTGGAAATGCCTTTTGTTGGGGTATGTTAAGGTAAAAAATAAAAACTTGTTTCCAGCTAAACATCTCCACATCTCGTCACATTAAAACCACAAACTTCAGCGTACCTTATTGGGGTTTTATGTTGCTGGAGCAACGTAAAGTAGAGCACAGTTGTGAAGCAGAAGCAAAATGATAAATGATTCAAAATGACTTTATGCATAAGAATCTGAACAGCATGGCATTGCTATTCAGTCAACACTTTCTTCTACATTTTTCTGCTGGCGCCGCTGGAGGCCTCTTAGGGTTTGTCTCCAAAAAGCTTTGCACATTTGCGCTCGAGCTCAGTCGGATCAGATGGAGAGCGTCTGAGAACAGCTGGTTTCAAGTCTTGCAACTGATTCAGATCTGGACTTTGATCAGGGTTGCTAAAATGCTCCTGCTCTTTTTCCACTTATTTAGCAGCTTCGGACAGGTTTGCTTCTAATATCCCACATTGTCAGCTCTGACCAGCTCCTTGTCCCTGCTAAAGAAAAGCATCACCACACCATAAACCTGCCACCATCTTGTCTCACTGTGGGACATTGTTCAGGCTGCGGTGTTGATTTTTTTTTCTCATAGGAGGTTCGAATTTGGTTTCATCTGACTTTTTTCAAATTTTTTCACATTTTCTTTATATGTGCACTACACTAGCCTTACTTTTTTTTCACCCTAGGTGTCGGTGGATCCTTAACCCTTGTGCGTGCGCGGACTGAGGCAAGTGATACAAGTGATATGGGTGTGAGGTCAGTTGGACCCCATTTGTAAACACAAGGGTTAAAAAAAGCCTTTAATTCATGTATCTAAAATTAAGGCCTTAAAATGTCTTAAATTTGTTAGAAGAAAAAGTTAATTGCATGTTTTAAATTTTGTTATAGCATGCAGGACTGTTTTATCACACGTGTTCTATGTAGTTTATTTTTCTTGTTTGAGTTTTCGGTCAGGCAAAAGTTTGAGTCGGACGCCAATATCTTCATTACGTTCTGACTCTGGGAGGTTGAGGCTGCCGCTAACTAGATGCTAACATACGCTAGCATATGTTTTTATTCTTGCTAGCTGTGAAAGATAATAGTACACCAGTTTTCGGGACGACGTTTGTCTTTGGCTTTGGCTCACTTCTGTTGCGAACACATATGACGCTGCATTAATTGTGGGCAAAGAAAAACTTTATAAAGTATGTATATTTGTTTTGTACATTTCTGTTGTGATACAGGTCTTAAATTTAACTCGTAGTGGTATTAAAAATGTCTTAAAAAGTCTGAAATCTGAGTTGATGAAAACTACAGAAACACTGTCACCACTCTTCTGGTTTTTGGGCCAACGATCTCTCCCGTCAACATACTCCCCTACCTGAGCAGGGGCTTTCTGCAGCTCCTCCAGAGTTACCACAAGTCTCTTGGGTATATTCTGTGCTTCAGGCTCTCCTCACTCACAGCAAGGCACTGTAGACAGAAAAACCTCGTCGGCAAAACAACTCATCAAAGAAAGTAGCTGAGCATCACATATAGGAGGAAAAATAAATGAAAGCAAAGCCATAGCCTCTGAAGAGTCCAGGCTTTGTGTTACTTTTTCCTGCAATCCCCACAAAAACAATCTCTCATTTGCTTTAAAGAGTAATTGTTCTTGGGGAAAGTGTGAGACATCCAGCGAACATTTGTTTCTCTCAGTCCTGGCACCCGGATGAGTCATACGGGGGGAACAAAATGAGGAAAAAATTGCACCATTTCTTTTTAAAGAGCTTACAAATGTTTCTTGGATGGGCCACTTGAGCCTTAAATTGGAGCAGAGTTTTCCTGAGTTTAACTTCAGCATTCACTGGAGATACATTCAAGCACCATCAAGCCTCCCCCTGAAGCCCGGCGCCCATTCGTTTGGCCTTAACTCAGGTGGCGATGCGGCAACAGTCCCGACCGCCGCCGGGTAATTTCAGCTGAAAAAATGCGGTGCCCTTTCCCTGCACTTCAGGAACAAGGAGGGATTAATGGAACTATTAAGCCACATGGGACGTTCGGTGGAGTCCAACAGGCAGAGCCCATAAAGACAAAAATCCCAACGTTACTGTGACTTCTCGTGTGCCTTTTGCAAACAGACAGATAATCATACTTTAAATAGTATACGAACTGCGCTGCCGATGGACCGGTGTAGAGGCTGAAAGCTCTGATCCAAGGTAGGAATTGATTTTTGGGGGGATTTAATGGAAGGACGTCTGCCTTGACTTTCTAATAAACTCACATTATGGCAGTTTATTGATGTAAAAAGGTAAAGTAATCCACCGTGAAGGCAGCGCTGTGCTTTTGTGGAGAGGGCATTACAGTTTTTAAGCAAAAGGAGTTCCACATTTTGAGCTCAAATATGGTAATTATGCTCTTGCTTTACCTCCCATGTTGGGGTGAATCTAGACTTACCATAAATAGGAGCATGTTTGGAGTTATTTATCTTTGTACAGGTCCCTTTCATAGATTGTTGACCTGACCAATCTATGAAAGGGACCAGGTTGCGCTCGTATTTTACAAATTCAGCCACGTCCATTACCCCGAACAAGACTATGTTGATCTCTCCAGCATTGCTAGTAAAGTGAATATTCTGGTGATTTTGCTTTGTTATAACTTGGATAGCATGAAAAACAGTCTAATTTGCTGTAAAATGATAAACCTCCTTAATATTCTTATATTTCTAACCTTCGGAGTCGCTGAACTGCGGCGACAGACATTTGAAAAACATATATACTTCTTTACTTTTACATTTACCAGTCTGTCACATTTGTCCGAGGAACATTTGATCCTTTTCTCAGCTGAAGCTGGAACAAGTCTGACTGGTTTCGTTTCTGTGCCGCCTGTTTCTGGCGTCTTTGGGCTCTGACTCGGCCCAAGACTTTCTTCACTGCTTCTCAGACGGTACTTTAGTTCTCAGGCGGATTTATTGTTTAAGGTCATTGTTGTTTTGTTGTTTTTACAGATGGATCTTTCACTTCATCCCTTGGTGAAACTAAATCCTTCTTAGCTCTTGTTTCTTCATGTGGTGCGGTTGCAGTGACAAAAAGATTTGTCTGGAATGGCACTTAATGCTTACAAGTTTCACCTTCAACATTCCTCAAAATTAGGCCATAAGTGCAAATAATTATTTCCTATATTTAGCCAGGTTTTAAAACTTAATTGAGATCTACAATCCTTTTTTCAAGAGGGACTTGACAAGACAGTGACACGGTCTACAACAGTGACATAGTTTAGTTTCAACAGCATCTATAGACTCAACTAAAACCAGACCGACAATCTGACAAAACATAATTTAAATGAAAAGCAGTCGTTCATGGACTAGTTCGTCCAGGATTTTTGCTCAGACACAAAACCTAGAGATTGGTCTTTCTTTGTTAACAATCCAGCTATCCCCACCTCTTAGTAGCTTTCACACTTCAGGAATGGTATTGTTGGTGAGAGGCAAATTAAAGATAAAAGTTAAAGGTTCAGCGATGATATCAGCAAGCCCACCTCAAGAAAGAAAGGATCAAGCTTATCTGGAACAGCAGATTTGCTTGTGTCAACATTTTTTAAAGCCCTTCAAACCTCAGACACAAAGAAAGAAGTGAAGCTAAAAAACCCAGAGAGCCTCAGGCCCAGAGGAGAGATGCTGACTGGAAATCCTGTGCTCCTGAATCAGATTGAACAGATTCAAAGTGTTCGCTAAAATGGTCAAGAATTGCTGTTTTGTCTGTAGCGACACAACTGCCACTAAAGGTCATAGGTCATTTCTCTAAGTGTCTTCACTGGGAGATTTGATCACTTTGCATAAATTCTTAGGATTTACGGTTAGAAAGCATTAAAAAAAAAAACTCCCTATATGACAAGAAGTTATATTATTATATCAGAAAATGGCAGGAAACTGATTTTTGTGGAAACCAGCCAAACAAACATGCTATATTTGAACATCTGATACTCACTTCAGTAACTGTTCTCACTTGTTTTTAGATTAGTTGGGATGCAACAATAAAATTATAATGTGGAAAGTTTTTGGGAAAAGATGCTAACGGCTTATTTTTTGCTCAACCTACAATTAACTTAAGAAGATTTAGGAGGATTTGTCATGCTCAGTTTCACAATGACACGATAATTTTACATATATATATATGTATATATAATTACGTATGAGACATTTTATTCAACTAAAATGTTTATTCAGCAACTTGTTTGCCTCTTGTCAGCATGACCAGCGGTGCAGCGCGTCCACAGTGTGTATCCGCTGTCCGGCAGCAAGTGTGAAGAAGCATCTCTTCACCGTCTCATTTAGTCGACCCTGCACGCACACGCACACACACACACACACACACACACACACACACACACACACACACACACCCCTCTTCTCCGGCTTTCTCATTAAACTGTTGTTATTCCCTCCCTGTTTCATGTCGAGTTTCCAGGTGGCTGCACGTAAGACACGTCCAACAGCAGCGAGCTCGTCTCACCGACTCTCAACGATCGCAAACTGAGTTAAAAGGTTGCAGAGTTCCCTGCGCTGTAGTGACAAGGAAGAGAAAAGAAAAGGAAAGAAAAAAAACTTTCTAACAAAGTCAGAAACACTGTAGGAGGAAGGTGTATCAGTGTCAAGAATCGTTTTTCATGCAGCTTGATGCTTGGAGACAGAAATAGAAATATTTCCTCTACATGTTCTATTCAGATAAAAAAAATACAGTGTTGTTCAGGCGTGAATTTCAGACAACCTAACCATCGGGGGATTAACACTTGAAAAGGCATTTAAGAAAGAAAAAAAAAGGGTTTACCTCCACAAAGTCTTTGTTTTGCTTTTTAATCTTTAGCTCTGTTCATGTCATCTGCTAGATCACCACGTTGAAAACACTGTGGCAGAAATAATTACTGAACATGAAGTAAATATATCTCCAAAGGGGCTATTGAGAATAAATTCACACCAGATGTCGGTCACAACATAAGTTAGCAAAGAAAGAAATACAAATACATTTGCTCAGAAATTACTTGTAATAAAATAGAAAAGTACAGAAATCAACAGGACACATTTTTCCATAGATCTTAAATTGGATTTACTGAGTCAATATATCATATTTATTTATATTTTTCTGAAACCAGCTGAGGATCTTCCTGACTCCCTTATGATCAACTTCATGCTGAAAAACAAACGTTTAGATTTCTATTAAGAATTTTTCAATAGATTTCTCTTGTGCAATACTTTGCTTATTAGAAATTTTTATTGGCTAAATCGCCTGATGTTAATTTGCCCAAACAGGGAGCGCAGGATAGAATTGACTGAGGTTTGTGAAATACAGTTTCATTTTCGACCGGCCAGATTTGGCCCCCGGGCCTTAAGTTTGACACATGTGTATTACATGCTGACAGATTACATTCTGGTTTCTTTCCTTTTCCTGTTTCATTCCACTTTTATACACATAACCTGAACTAATCTGCTTTTATTTATTAATTTGACACCAAAATCTGGCGCACTCTTAGAAGAGATGTTTTTTTTTTTTTTAGCCCATTATTTTGTGTTACTGTCAAATCAACACATTTTGTGTCGTTTCCTACACTTTCTACATCTGGACACACGGAGTATGTGTTAATCATTGACCAATCACGTCGCTTCTTGGGTCTGGAGTTCTGGAACTTTCCACATGAAAAAAAAAAAAGAAAGTCAACTGCAGCAACAGTCTTTAAAGGACGTCGGTGCAACGGGAAGTAAGAAGGTAAATTAATGTTTTATTCGATGAACTGTTAGTAATGTATAAGTAGAATTTATTAATGAGGATATTGATTTGTGCTGTTTAGTCACTAAGTCTGTCATGACTCGTACTGCTTTGACATCAGTCAGTGACTGATAGCTTAGCATACAACGGCAGTTTTTGGCTATAATTGTATTTAAAGACTTGTGTGTCACCTGTAAACTCCTAATTTAATCGTGATTTTGTTTCATCGCAGTGGGAGCTAATTCAACCGACTGCTTT